ACTTAAAATATGAACCATATAGCCATCCTCTGATTTTTTAATATTTCCTCTCCTTACTGTTATGGTTTTTATTTGTTTTACCTCATTTATCATGTTAGATTTGCCCATGTTCATTTATATATTTAAGATCGTTAGGAACATGACAGCCAAGATAGATAACCCTTCAGAAACAGTAACAGGAGTAATGGTTCCCTGAGGGTATGGGAAGAGAGAGGGGTAGGAGAGGGGGAAAAGGAGCTGACAGCATTGATGACTATATTGAACAGAATTGTATGTGAATGGATATACTGGATTGTGTAAGATATGGCAAAAAATATTATAGCAAAGAAAAACAATATTAGGGTTGTGGGGGGTTAGCGTGGAGGAGGGAGGTGATCAAGGGGAGCTGATATCAAGGAGTTCAAGAAGAAAGAAAATATTTTGAAACTGATTGTGGTAGCGGTTGTACAATATTGCTTGATGTGATTGGAATATGGAACGTTATGATATCTGCAAGAGCTCCCTATAAAAATAATTTTTAAAAAGAAAAAAAAAATGGGTCCAAAATGGATATCACATGATATTATATTTAAATCTAACTATATCTCCCATAATCAACTTTACATTGCTCTCTGATAGGAAGATTTTCCATATTCCTGGACTAAGGTCAGAGGGGATCACCGGAAACTTCATCCGTGTGGGCACTCTGCAAATGGTTTGGGGCTTCTACTGCCATGCATAGCTTTCTGCAAACTGGATGTTCAAAATTTAAGTTCTGATACCATTTCTGCTGTTGGATTTGGATTTGATTATCTGCAGTCCTTGAATCACTGGAAGCTGGTGTGCTTGTATGTGGACTCAGTTGACCTTTCTAAACGGATTTTTAAAAAATATTTGTGTCATCTTTTCACTGCAGGAACCCTCTCTCGTTTACCTGCTTAGTCATAGGCTGTTCTGGGTTAATGGCATAATGAAACAAAGAAAGCATGGAAGATACCTTTAGTTACATTGTTTCACATACACTTAAACATTTAATTGGACTGCGTTTTATATTTATTAATTAAGGACCCATTTGGTATTATTTCCTGAAAATAAATACCTTTGTGAGTGTCCATCTTGTAAAAATATTCTTTGCTTTTTAAAGGGGCTCTAAATTGTAGTCTGTCTTCATATATGTCAAAAATTGATTTTATTTGTAAAAATTGAATTTACCCATAACCATTTAGTAAATATTTTCAAATTTATTTGTGGCTGAGTTAAAACTTTCTAAAAGTAGGACAACCTTTTGAATTGGATTAAGATATAATATAGTTATGAGATAAAATTTACATATTGTATAAATCACCCTTTAATATGTGTGCAGTAGTTTTTATTTTCTTCACAATGTTGTACTACCGTCACTGGCATCTAATTCCAGACCGTTTACCCATACAACAAACCCCACATTTGTTAGCATTCCCCATTCCAAACCCATTCCCTCTGTCACCCCTGGAAACCACTAGCCCACTTTTTGTCTAGCCTGCACATTTTCTGTATGTGGACTTATACACTATTACATGGCCCTTTGTGTTTGACTTCTTTCACTTCGTAGCATATTGATTTTAAAGTTTGGCCAAGTTGCAGCCTGTATCTATTTTTCTTTCTTTTTTATAACTGAATAATTGTCTACCATATGACATTGTACATTTTATTAATCTATTCAACAATTAATGGACTTTGATTTACTTCTACTTTAGGGCTCCTATTAATGCTACTATGCACATTCATGTTGAAATTTTGTTGTGAACACATGTTGTCTACCCTCTGTGGAGTTGCTGGATCATATAGCAACACTGTTTAATATATGAGGAACTGCTAACTGTTTTCCAACACAGCTGCATCATTTTACTTATCTACCAACAATGTATAAGAGTTCCAGTTGCTACAGATCCTAACCAACAATCATCATCATCATCATTTGTTGTTTTTAACTGTTGCCATCCTAGAGAAGTAGGTAGTGTCTTGTTGTGGCCATGCTTTGCATTTCCTTAGTGATTAATGATGTGTCTGTCGTGCCTCCTGACCATTCATATACCGTCCTTGGAGGAATGTCTATTTAAACCTCTTGGCCATTTTAAAACTGGGTTGTGGAGTTATTGTCTTTTTATTAATGTGTAAGATTAAAAAATAGATATTTGTTCTAAGTACAAGTCTTTTACAAAACATGTAAACTAATGACTCCAGCTAACCAATTGTAGAGCTTTGTTTTTTCTAAACAAAACCTGTTTAAACCACTGTGTGATCGATGGGTGACTGCAGACAAGTTCTCGCAGTCACGCACTTGTCTTCGTCCTGTTGTGGCTAGGTGCCCTAAAGTTGGCTCCGACCCATAGCCACCCTAGGGACAGCAGAATGCAAGGCTGCCTGGTTCTGTGCCAACCTCAGAATTGTGCAATTCAAGGTGGAGAGGTCAACTCGGAAGACTATGACGGCTATGTTTGGGGGTTTATAAAGGGTTATCTTGATAGATTTTGTTAAAGGACACAAAACCATAAAGACTTTCAGAAAGACAAGACCCCCAAATCCACTGCTGTTGAGTTAATTCTGACTCATAGCAACTCAGTATATAGGGTTTCCCAAACTGTACATCATCTCTCCCCCACAGAGTGGGTTTGAATGCCACCAGGGCTCCTAATTATTGTTGAATTTTTGAAGGATCAATGGTTAGTATATACAGGGTTAATTATGGAGGTCTATATTCAAGGAAAGGTAATTAAGTAGGCCCTTCAAGGATACATAAGAAGTGAGCAAGGGAGAAAAGCACTTTAGCTGGATGGTATAGTATTTGAAAGGCAGCAAGAAAATCCTGTTGCTTGAAACTGAAAATTGGTATTGACTTTGGGCAGAAAGAAAGATATATAACTAGGTGTTGCTTAAGAGCCCTGATGGTGTAGTGATTATGTGTTGGGCTTCAATCCCCGTGGTCAGCAGTTGAAAACCACCAGTAGCTCCTCAGGAGAAAGACTGGACTTTTTCTACTCCCCAAAACAGTTATAGTCTCAGAAACCCACAAAGGTTCACTGAGTCAGCATAGACCATGGTCGTGAGCTCGTTTGTTTTTGAGTACCATCAAGTCACTTCCAGAACTGTCCCTTAGGATTCTCAAAACTGTAATCTTTATGGAAACAGATTGCCAAATCTTTCTCTTGTGGAGCGCTGGGTAGGTTTAAACCGTCCACCTTTTGGTTAACAGCTGAGTGCTTAAGTGCTTGCTCCACCAGGGTTCTTGGGTAAATGTAGGGACATACTATTTTGGAGGTCCTAAATGCCAATTTGAAAAGTTTGCCCTTGTTCCACTTGACACTAGAGAATCGCTCGAGTTTTTGAGTTAGGAAGTCTGAGGGCACGGCCATAGAGTTTTTAAGTTTGTTCTTTTGATTTTTCAAACTTCTCTTCAATGTTCTGCATAGTGTCTAGAGCAACGTTTGAAAATGTGTGAATAGATGCATGGATGTATGGGCAAGGTGATATGACCCTATCTACATCTGTTAACCCTAGGAACAACCTCTGTAATAAGGATGTAGGTTAAAAATGGAGATGCCTTGCTTTCTAAGCATATAAAGGGAGTGTGATGACACCTAAGTTCCAGCCTGGGTGATGAAGAAATAACAGTGCCATCCCTAGAAACAGGGAAGTCATGAGGGGGAAGAGGGAAGTGGGACAGGGACAGTGATGAGCATGTTTTCAGAAAGGCCTGGTACCTGAATATTTCATTTCAACATTAGCTGTGTAGATGTCTGAGCAGCAAAAATGGACTAGTATAATTATATGTATATGAATGTGTACACATGTGATGTGTATATACACATTCTCAGACATAGTGTATTAGAGCTCATGTGTTCTAAAGTGTTAATACACTCATCTACTTATTTATATTAGCAGAACGATGAGTACTGACTCTTCAGCCAACCAACCCAAATCTACTGCCATCAAATTGATACCGCCTCACAGAAACCCTACATAGAGCTTCCAAGCCTGTCACTCTTTATGGGGCCAGCCAGCTTCATCTTTCTCCTGTGGAGCGGCTGGTGGGTTTAACTGCCAACCGTGCCGTTAGCAGCACAACATTACTGAACAGTGCCATCGGAGAGGGTTCCTAAGATTCAGAAAAAGGAAGTTATACAAGGAGACTGAAAAGGAACAGCAATTCAAAAACATATTCAAATCATTAATTTGCTAATAAGACTTTGCACAGTGGTTATGCACTGGGCTGCTAACCCACACAGGGAGCTCAAACTACCGCAGCTCTGCAGGAGAAAGGTGGGACTTTCTCGTCCTGTAAAGAATGACAGCCTTGCGAACCCACAGGGACAGTTCTGCCCTGCCCTGCGGTGTTGCTCTGAGTCGGAATGGACACGATGGCAGTGGGTTTGGTGTGGTTTCAGAGAACTAGTAGTGCTGACAACGGAACCCCTGCCTCACTTACAGAGTGCTTGCTGTATGCACTGAGACCTCGGTGGGCCTGCTGCCTCTTCTTAGCTTCACAGGAAATCTACGATGTCAGTATTAGTTTTCCTCCCATTGGAGAACGTATGGGCATAAATTCATCTGTGTATACATATTAGTGCAAGCCAAATGTTCTGCATGTTATACTAAAGGTATGTGTGTTTGAATTCTGTAAGGCAAGGACTAAATCTTTACACAATTAATCTTCAGTTCTACTTGTAGTTAACAGGTAGTGATTAGATAGCCCATAAAAATAAAGTCAGCATTTATATTTATGTCACCTATTTTAATTTCCTGTTTGGTTATCTATATTTATAGTATATTATTAGATAAATCTTTTATGATTACATCTTGAAAATGTTCATCTCAAAAAGAACATGAGCTCTTTTACTTAAAGAATTAATCATTCAGAAAACGCTTTTCCAATATTTTGTTCTTAAACTAATGTAAACGTGCTTTGGAATCTTTTATGAGGTATTACTCAACATTTATACTTGTAGTAAGGAAATAAGAAGGGCCTGTTCTTTTTATTTCAGGGGATATCATTTTCAACGCCCAATACCCAGAGCTGCCCCCTGATTTTATCTTTGGAGAGGATGCAGAATTCCTGCCAGACCCCTCAGCTCTGCATGTGAGTACCATCGGCTCTTTCTGCTGATTTATGTTTGGTAAAAAGAAGACAAAATTGGTTGTTGTCAATGGCTCAACAGATAATTTGCCAAACATGGATATTTTTCAACCCCCACTTTTCTCTGTCCTGTGAAATCTGTAGAACTGTTTACTGGCCAGAATAGTTACATACTTATTTATGTTTTTCATTGCAGTTTTATTTATACTGCTGGTGCATTTTTTTAAATAAAAGTCTCTAGCATATTGGTTGCACTGTTTTCTTCTTCAGTGACATTAATAACATTCATTTTGTTTCCATTTACCATTTCATGCTTGCAATCAATTTTATAAAGTTTACCAGCACTTCATCACAGGCCTTATTAGGAGAGTGTTTCTTGGCTTTTCATGAGTTCTTTTTGGTAGAGAAGTGAAAGTGGCAAATTTGGACCTGCATCAGCATTATCTCAGAATTGGTGTATTTTCAGAAAAGTAAAGGGCAGAATAAATGTTCTTTATTAAGCATCATTAAAAACTTCGTAGTTGAAATAAAATGTTTCTGGAATTAAAGCAGGCATCCCCCCAACTGGGGACAGGCGTGGTGGTACTTGTCAGAGCACATGTAGTTTACATAAAAAGTATGTGTTTTGCATGGTTGATAGAGAAAAAAGTGTGCTGTTTGTGGAAATGATTCTGATTAAACAAAATATCTCCTTTCCTTTCTAAACTTTAAATTTGTTCCTTGGCCTATACTCAAAGACATTTTATTGTTTTCCAGAGCTATGTTTCTAGTTTAGGTTTTCTAGAATTTTTTGTCCCTTCAAAGTTTTGTAATTAAAATTTTTGGTAACTTATTTTGAAATCTCGCCTTTTTTTCTTTTCTTTAGAGGGAAGTGTTAAACAGGAAATATTAGCCCACACCTAAAGGATCAGCATAATTCTCAGAATACAGCTGTAAAAATATTGTTGACAAGATTAGGATGAGTTTATAATAAAATTTCTAATAATTACACACAAACTGTTAGCATGAGTTGATTGCCCCTCCCACCTTAACTTATAAGTTAAATATAACCCCTTCAGGTACTATGTGTTTATATTAATTGCCCCATATTAAAAGTAAGGGGGTTATATAGGTGGGATAAACAATTCAGAGACAAAAACAGTGGGACCAATGGTTCCGGGGAGGTGGGGCACATGGGAGAAGGGGAGATGGGAGAAAGAAAGGGGGAGTGGTCAACCAACCCAGGGACAAGGGAACAACAAATGAACTAAAATTATGGAGAGAATGACGTAGGATGCCTAGTGGGGCTTAATCAAGGGCAATGTAACAGCAAGGAATTATTGAAACCCAAGTGAAGGCTGAACGTGATAGTGGGACAAGGGGAGAGTACAAGGAAATAGAGGAAAGAATTAGGAGGCAAAGGGCACTTATAGAGGTCTAAATACAGTCATGTACATAGCTAAATATATTTATATATGACTTTAGGGAAATAGATCTATGTACTTATACGTATATGTTAGTTATTAAGGTAGCAGATGGATATTGGGCCTCTACTCAAGTACTCTCTCAATGCAAAAACACTTTTTTCTAATAATCCGGCATTCTGTGATGCTTATCTTCCTGACATGATTGCTGAAGACAAGATGGGTGCGTAAGCAAATGTGGTGAAAAAAGCTGATGGTGCCCGGCTATCAAAAATATATAGTGCCTGGGGTCTTAAAGGCTTGAAGATAAACAACCGGTCATCTAGCTGAGAAGCAACAAAGCCCACATGGAAGAAGCATGCCAGCCTGTGTGATCACGAGGTGTCAAAAGGATCAGGTATCAGGCATCAAAGAACAAAAAATCATACCATTGAGAATGAGGAAGAGAGTGGAGTGGGGACCCAAAGTCCATCTGTAGACAACTGGACATCCCCTTACAGAAGGGTTGTGGGGAGGAGACTAGCCAGTCAGGGT